CTGTGTCAGTGTGTATCAGGGGTTCTGAGGACAGGTGTCAATCCATATCTGCCAAGTGACCCTATGTTGGGGTAACATTCCCTATTCTGATCTGAGTCAGTGTGTATCAGGGGCTCTGAGGACAGGTGTCAATCCATATCTGCCAAGTGACCCTATGTAGGAGGAACAGTCGCTATTCTGCTCTGTGTCAGTGTGTATCAGGGAACCTTGGGACAGGTGTCAATCCATATCTGCCAAGTGACCCGATGTAGGGGGAACAGTACCTATTTTGCTCTGTGTCAGTGTGTATCAGGGATCCTTAGGACAGGTGTCAATCCATATCTGCCAAGTGACCCTATGTAGGGGGACCAGTCTCTACTCTGCTCTGCTCTGTGTCCGTGTGCATCAGGGGCTCTGAGGACAGGTGTCAATCCATATGTCAAGGTGTCAATATGTCATATGTCGGGTGTCAATCCATATTCATTGTGATTTAGGAATGTTAGGTGATTTTTGCCCTTTATGGATTAAAACCAGACTCTCTATCAACTGTGTAATTTTCCATGGGAGTTTTGCCATGGATCCCCCTCCGGCATGCCACAGTCCAGGTGTTAGTCCCCTTGAAACAACTTTTACATCTCTATTATGGCCAGAAAGAGTCCCTGTGTGTTTTAAAATTCGCCTGCCCATTGAAGTCTATGGCGGTTCGCGCGGTTCGCGCGGTTCGCCGGTTCGCGAACATTTGCGGAAGTTTGCGTTCGCTATTCGCGAACCGAAAATTTTGTGTTCGCGACATCACTACCTAAAACCTTTGTGCCTGTTGCTACCAAGTCTTTCTGCAGGTAGCAGGAGTCACTCAAGGGTTTTTCTCTTTAGAAATGTGGTTGCAGCCATTGATAGCTTCCTTTTTCTGCCCAATCCAGGTAGTGTAGACTATGGATCACCAGGAGGAGATTTCTAGAGAGTCATCAGGGAAGATGTTTTGATATCCCTGTCAGCTCCTGTGGATCCCACTCAGAGTTGGAGCTCCAGGTTCAGACAGGGCCCCACTGAGCTGTCCAAGCCTGGGCCCTAGGCACCCACCTTGGCCAACCTAATGGGTTATCCAACTCTGGTAAGCCAAGCTACATGTAAGCTAATATGCTAAAGGGGTACTACCAATTTATACACTTCACTTTTCACTTATCCTGAGTGATGAGTAGATTTGGTCATGGGGAACAAACTACATATCCCATAAATTCCAACAGGATGAGGTGTTATGGCTGTTCTGCTGTTTTAAACAACAACCTTTTCTTACTCTGTCTGAGCTATTCAGATGCATTTAGTATTGTTGCCATGGTTATGCACCTGGTTGTTATTAGCCAATCTCTTTCGATAATCGGTGAAGGCTATTTAAGCAGTTCCTTGCCCTTGCGTGGTTTCTTGTTTCCTAGAACATTTCCTGTTTTTAGTGTGTTTTCCTGGTTCCTGACTTCTGGTCTGGTTCCTGACTCCGCTTCTCTCCACTCTCCTGATTCTGGCTTGTTTGACTACCTGCTCTGGGGCTTGACCCCTGCTTCTTTCCTGGACTTCGCTTTTGGACTATTTTAATTTTGCTATTCTTTTTATTAATAAAGGTGTTTTGCATCTACATCCTGTCTCTGTCTAATTTCTAGTCCCTGACAAGAGGTTTCTTGGATAAGAGTCTCTTTCATATAAATGACGGCAATGCCTGAAGATGGCAGCAGACACACTAAACAGTGCTAAGCCCAGGGATGTTAAAAGTGTGTATTATTTAGTTTTTGTTTAATGTTTACAGGATTTTTATACCTTCTTATATTTTCTATATCATGTATTATTGATACATTTTTCCATTTAAAACCACTGTATGTATTTATAAAAATGGTTTTGGATTAGACACATAACAGAAATATCAATATCAAAAAAATTTACCCTTGCTGCATTTAAATCAATTGCAACACAAGGACTGTGATTATCACAATAAGGAAAAGTGT